TTTTATAGTTTGGATCATTATTGAGAAGTAAGTTCCAAGCTTGACCTAAGATATTCATATACTAATAAACAAGCTTTAGACATAGATTTGTGAGTTAGTATTCACTTGTATCAAGCTTTAAATATTATCATGTTAATAGTTAGGTTGAGAGATCATTTAATCATTAACATGATAATACTCACAATATTGCTTAGACATGAGAAATATTGAGAGGATACGTGAATGTATCGATCATTAATTAGTTCATATGCGTGAGTAATCGAATATATTTGGAATAGGTTGACGAAAACTAATCTTGATATGCCTTTTATCAAAACAAGCCTTTTCAAACAAAAATCTCTCTTTTATCCAAATCACCATCTAATGTATGAAACTTAATCTTTTGTTACTAAAAGAAAATACCAAAAGTTTGTTTATGATTCAAACACTTAAAGTCACTAAAACTATAGAACGACATTAATATCACACCAATACCTGAGGAAAACGAGGGGCTGTGTGGCACCTATTTGAAGATATTAACAGATGAGCTTGAATGCTCGCATGAACACAAGCGCACTCGGGTGAAGTTGGTAGGGTGCCAATTGTAGCCATTGGAAAACCCCCACTTGGAAGTCATTAAATAGAAAACGCATCCTCGCCTCCTTGAAATCAAATTCATACATAGGGAAGCGTTTTCCCAGATACGACGAGCATATCCTCATGTTTCGATGAGGGACTTATAGAGCCCAATTGGCAGAGACTCCCTCTGCTCAAACCTCCAGACAGTTGAATGTGTCTGACCCATCGTGCGAGAAATACAACCTTTTATTTCTAGGTTCGGGTGCAACCCGGGTTAAAGGGTCTTCCACGTTATTGGATTCATCTTCATGATTGGTGGGCACGGCGTCCTCCTCGACTGGATGTGCCATTATACCTGAAAAGCAGGGGAAAGCAATGAATTCGACATCATCAAATTCACCCTTCCACTGCAAATCAATTGAAAGGGTGATGAATCCGTCGAGGAATGGACTTTGACCTAAGCCCTCGACTTCCACACTGAAACAAACCGTGCCCTACTCGGGGACATTTGGTCAAACGACAAAGCTGCCTGAATCCAACCTACTATCTGGGGAGAATGACCCCGACGCTATGAACTTCATCCACTACCATGAACTTCAATGAACATTCATGAATGTTCATTGCAGAACCTATGAGTGTTCATCTAAGATTCATCCTCTCAAGATAAAAACTGGGTGTTTAATCTAAAAATTCAAAGGAAACATGTTATTAAGAGGATATGACTTACTTGGATAAATAATGTCTTTGAAGAATTCTATGGAGAAAAGTTAGGAGGAGGGGATCCACGCGCGAACGCAGAAGAGTGGAGAAGAAAGCTTGAAATTAACAAATGAACCACTACGGTCCCCTTTTTATAGATGGTTCACACCCTACGAGGCTGCATACGAAAAGTCATCATTATTTTAGGCTTTTTTGAACTCCCCAATGAAACGATAGGCACCCCAAAACAGCTACCACGTGACGTTAACAAGAAGCCACATGTCCCCTCTTGAAGGCAAACTTATCCCCGACTTCAATACGAAACATTGTTCCCGAGCACGTTGAAGATGTTGCACGCTCAATAACGGGAAAACGCCCGACCCCATGACTAAACCTTACATACAGGCACGTTTATCACATTTCGCTCGTGGGAGCGAGGTAATGCTCAACATCGTAGCGAAACCCTGTGAACGGGCACGTCGAAAAAGAAAACTCGGGGAAACTCCTACCACCCTACATATTTTTGACGGGCACCAAACAGACAAATGATCTAGTAGACCGTGTAATTCGTGTGTTTTCGGGATCCCCGACACGGGTCAACCAACTATCCCCAATACGGGTCAACCTGCTATCCCCGACATGGGTTAATAAATTATCCCCGTTTGAGGGTTACGATTTCCCTTCTCAGGCGAGTGTTCCCCGACAGTGAAGCTGAACTTAAGTCATCACCCTTTCACCTAAGGGCAATAACTCGGGGGGCTTCTGTTCTGGACTGAGCCAGCACTTGCCCCACCATTGGGGAGGCCCAATCCAGCACCTTTTCCCAAGGCCCAAAGGCATGCAGCCAAGGCTGGAGACCATTGGTCATTTTCCTACGTGTCCGCTAGGAAGACGTTGCCCATGTTTCCATATCGTCATCATACTGCCCCCCGAGAATCACGGGTCCAACGCCTGTTTTCTCAGAGCAGTTGACCAGGGAGGAGGCCATGTTATGGACTCTATACACACGTAAGCCCTAGAAGTCTTCATTGTTAGGCCTTATCGTGGCCCAACATTGAAGACCTTGGCCCAATGCTGGGGGCTATAAATACCCCCTCACAAGAGAGGGCCAGGTATTGATTCATTCACACTCTCATACTCACTTACTTGTATTAGCTCTGAACCTCACTTTGGCATCAGAGTGTCTTGCAGGTATCTCCCCCCCCCCCCCCCCCCCCGACCCTTCACCTTCCACTGTTGCTCGGATCGAAGCTTAAAGGTTTTGATAATCCCTTCTGGTCAGGTACGATCAATAAGGTAATGCATATGAGGAATGTAAGATGAATAAGCCAGATGATTGGATGAAAGGGTAGGACAAACTTGGGGTATGACGCCCGACCTTTCACTTTTCTCTACTCACTAACAAATCTCTAGGGAATGGAAGGGGCATCATTGTTAGTCATTGTTTGCCTTGCATCTGAACAAAGCACTCCCTCCTCTCAGCAAGCAAGATTCTTAACATGTCCCGTGCATAACAAGAAAGTCAAAATGTTAAAGTGATAACGATGGGATAAAGTAAGGAGATTATCTTCAATATATAAAAGCTTACCAAGGCACTTCTCTACCCTAGTGCTATCTTCATTGTCCGAGGTAATCAAAGAACGAGAGCTCATAACTTGAAAGAAACTCAACACCTAGATCACATCCCACTCAATGAGGGAAAGGTTGTTGGAGTTTATTCACTTGATGATGTGAGGATTCGTTGTCCATGGCAGAGAAAAGTGGGAAACGTTTGTCACCTTTGTGGTCACCATGGAAGAACCATCTCACCATCTGACCCTCACAAATGTATATTTCTAATTCCCATAAGGCTAGGCATAGGGTCCCAACAAACTCCTATCAGACAAAGAGCATAGAGTTACCTAACCACAGACATGGAGAATCTTTACACCATAAAAAAAGGAACCCTTATGTGGGAAGGATGCCTAGATGGCAATAAATAATCTCAAAGTTCTTAATGATGCTATAGACATTGAGCACGATTTAGGAGGGGGTGACATTGATGGTCTTCAAGAAGTCCACTTTGAATGATGTGAAAGGTACAAAAACTCCCAATTCATGAATGACAAGAAGATGCAAGTAAAAATAGGGCGGATGAGCCACCCAAGGTAGCCATGTTTGATATTTCCATTTCTGAACAAGGCTCCATAATTATATATTCTTTATGCCCTGTACTTGAGAACTTGATATCTTAATGGAACCTCATGATCTTATTCGAGTCAGAATATATGGACACAATATCTTAGACATGGACACATTTGAAATTCTTCCGAGCCCTCTATTTTTTAGGAAAGCTTTAAATAACTACAAGATCATCACGAGCAACATTAAATTCCACACAAGCTTTTTCACCAAACCACCAAGTTTTCATAACTGGATGACATTTGGACATCTCTAAAAAATCACTTAACTGATGATTGCCATCCTTTCACTAACACACGAGTTAAGCATGAGACATCTGGAAAAAAGATGATGACTCATCCTTAGCTGAGGGACTCGCTCTCAAATGAACGATTCGCTTCAGCTGAGAGACTCGCCCATAACTAGGAGACTCACCCTTAATTGAGGAACTCGTCTTAGTTGAGGGACTCGCCCTTAACTGAGGGAATCACCAATCAAAATAAATGAGGAGTTTAAAGATTTCACCCTTTGTAAGCCCTCATACTTTAGGGACTGCGTAATGATATATTTGTAAAGGATCATAAACGGGGCGACTTGATGCTGCTTATTCCAGAGCACGCCGCTTAAGTCTGACCCTCACACAGTAGATGGTCCGCCCTAAGAGGAAACATGGAGGATACATTTCCTATAACCGCATGTGCCAAAAGTCCTGGCATTCCGTAAGAAATAAGCATTTAACTGTTCCCCCAATCAAAGTGGAGGTGGCTACTACTTCAAAGGAGTCCTCAAATCCAAGGCCAAGGTGTCTCTATAAATACTTTAACTCTAAGATTGAGAAGGACAAGTCAAAATATGCACGACACATCTCAAAAACATAAAGTTTCTCACCTCACATAAATTTATTCTATCCACACCAAAAATATCTTTGAAACATGATATCTCATAACCATAAAATTGCCTTAAAATACCGAAAATCCTTAAAACTTTCGACTACACCTATAACCATAGAAGGGTCACACCTATGTAGTTTTTAACAAAATATAATTTTACTTGTAAAAAGTATATATTCAAAAATTAATTACTAGTAAAAAGTATAATTTTATCCATGTAAAGTTTTCAATTATATTGCTTTCAATTATTGGTTCTAATATTCAAAACAATAACGTCTTTATCAATTTGAATGATGTAAATCCCAAATTTGCCAAAACTTGCCATAAAAAGAAAGTAAGAGAAAGCGATAATTAAAAAAACATCCAAGCCAAAAATATCTCAACCCGACAACCATGTCATACCACGTGCATCATCTTTATCTCTCACTTCATACGAAAATATCTCCAAGAACATTCCAGAGTTAGCCTTTGCATGTTCCGTGGTCACCACAACCACCACAAATCTCAGATATTTTTCCGCACAATCAAAACTTCTAGACTCTTCCCCCTTCCTACTTTAACTCACGATAAATACCATCCACAACTTCCATATATTCCTCCATTCTTCTTCACTGTCAAGATCTTACACCCAATTGTGTGCACATGCAATTGATCCAAATTCAATAAGTGCATGTTTAGAACAAACTAGTGATAATGGATGATTATAGCCAAGGGGCATTATCGTCATCTTACTACACTGTTCTTGGTGTTAGTTCAGATTCTTCTATAAACGAAATAAGGCGTGCATACAGAAAGCTTGCTATGGTTAGTTAATTAGTTTTCTTTAGGTTAATTTGTTATTCAAATTTGGGTTAATTTTGATTGTGAATTGAATGCAGCAATGGCATCCAGATAGATGGACAAGAACACCTTCTTTACTTAATGAAGCCAAATGTAAATTCCAGAAAATTCAAGAAGCTTATTCAGGTATATAGCGTTTCATGATTCGTGAACTTTTGTTCCTTTTACGAGAAAAGCATGTTATTGAAGTGTTTTGTTGATTTTGTTTAGTGCTATCTGATCCGAAGAGGAGAACTATGTATGATGCTGGATTGTATGATCCTCAAGAGGAAGAGGATGAGGTAACTGCTTAAAACATTTTTGTGTTCTGAATTTTCATATAAGAATGTTCTTTTTGTTGCTATGGTACTGAGAGGGTTTGTTATGTGATTTCTATTTTTAGGAATTTAGTGACTTTATGGACGAAATGGCGTCCCTTATGGTGGAAGTTAAGCGAGAGGTATGGTTATGAGATTAATGTCCGTCATAATGTTTTATTCAGGATCGTATTTCTATTCAAATGTTTAATCTCGAGATTTTTTTAATAACTTTTTTATGTGAATTGCAGGAGAAGGTTTATGGTTTGGATGAGTTGCAGGCCATGTTCATGGAAATGGCTGAAGGATTTGAGACTCCTTCTATGTATTTTGGGACACCAACTAGGGTTGATGAATCATGTGTTACATAGGAAGTGTTTTGACACAATATTATGTTTTTAAAGTAACCGGTTTCAACTTCATAGGAAAGAACTTAGGGGGGTGCATAAGAAGGAATATTTTTATTGTGTGTATATTGGAAGAGTTTTTCACTTTTCGTGTTAGGGAGTGATTTTGACGGATACTTGTTTTTAATTTGGTTTTAGATTTGAACGAATTTGGTTTTTTAGTAACAGAAACAATTGATCTTCTATGGAGTGTAAAATTAATGCATAGCAACGATATTTCTTTTATGATAATGAATGTGGTTTTTTAAGAGAATTAGCTTTGTCATAAAAAAAAATAGTGGGGTAATTTGTTGTCATTTTGTATGCTATTTTGTATAAATTTTATTTTATTTATTTATTTATTAAGGTTTGATTATTGTTGGAAGATATAATCACACAATTGCTAAATAATAGAATATATGGAGAAAGAGATAGTGAGAATAAAATAATTATAGAAAGAGATATAAGGTGAAAATATTATTTTGCATTAACTTTTATGCGGATGTCTTCAATGCATTTATATAAATATTACAAAGTGAATGAGGCACAAAACACACAATTCAAAAACAAGAAAAAACAAAAAGTTGCGCCTATAACCGGTTACACAAAGTCTATAATCGGTTAAAATTGACAAATATTCTAAAAATATAATCAGGTGTAATCAGTTACAATTGACAAATATTCTAAAAATACAATCAGGTGTAATCGGTTATACCAATTTCAAAAGTGTTTTTTGTCCTTCTAGAAATGCTTTTTACCAAGTTGTAACTGGTTACACTCCCGTGTTAACCGGTTGCAACACTTGAATTATTTGTTTTTCACTTAACACACCCCTTTAATTTAAGTGCTCCAAGTCTCCCATGCTCATGCTCATTTTCAACCTTTTGAACACATCATTTATCACTCTTAGTCAATAAATCAACAAATTGGTCTTTACTTCTACAATATTCTAATGTTAACTTTCTTTCACTAACAAACTCCCTCAAATAGTGAAAACTCATCTCAATATGCTTGCTCCTTTCATGTGCAATTGGATTTTTAGCAAAATTAATAGCGGAAACATTATCAACCAAGTGCGTAACAACCTCGCCTTCACTGATGTCTAGCCCCTTCAATAGATTCATTAGCCACACAACTTGGCACCCATATAACGAAGCACAAATATACTCGGTCCCACAAGACGGGAGTACAACTTTTGAGTCCTTCTTCGAACACCATGATATTGGTGCTCCGCTGAACATAAAGATGTATTTAGTTGTAGACTTTCAATCATCTTTATTTTTGCACCGATTGGAATCGATAAAACCAAGTAAGTTGTATTTTATGTCTGTATCCACTGCGGAAAAGAGAATTCTGCAGTCAATAGATTCTTTGACGTATCTCATGATTCTTTTGTCTGCGACTATGGGAGACACCTTCGGTCTCTCCATAAATCTATTCGCAATACCGACACTAAATGCCAAATATGATTGCGTATTCCACAAGTAACATAATGATTCAATCAACCTTCTATATTTAGTTGGATCTGTTATGTTCCTCTTCATTCTTTGGAAACTGCAAACTTGGTTTATCTGGTGTAATAACAATATTACAATGTTTCATTTCACACTTCTTGAATATCTCAAGAGCATATCTCCTTTGATGCATAAGCAATCCTTTTTTGGACTTGTGGAACTCTATGCTAAGGAAATATATTATGATACCAAGGTCGCTCATCTCGAATTTTTTCATAAGCTCAGTCTTGAGTTTAGAAATACTCTTCTTGTTGATGTCCGTGATCAACAAATCATCTACATATAGACAAAAAATGAGGACCCCTTCATTTGTATCCATTTTCACATAGACTCCATGTTCGGGAACATATTTCTTGAATATAAACTCAATTAAGAAATTGTCTATCCTTTTGTTCCAAGCTCTTGGAGCTTGCTTCAAATCATATAGCGCTTTTCTCAACTAGTAGAATCTTCCTTGTTTTTCACCAAAAAAAATCAGAGGGATGTTCTACATATACTTCTTTTTCAAGCAGACCATTCAAAAATACAGACTTCACATCCATTTGATATATAAACCAATTGTTGTTATTCGAAATACTAATAACTAGCCTTATGGTTTCGATTCTAGCAACTGGTGCAAATACATCATCAAAGTCTATACCTTATATTTGCAAAAATCCATTTGCAACTAATCGAGGCTTATGCTTGAATATTTCACCTTTGGAATTTGTCTTCACCTTATAGACTCATTTTACATCAATCGACTTCTTTCCTTTCGGTAGATCAACTAACTTTTAAGTATTGTCTTTCCCAATTGATTCCAGCTCATTCTTCATAGTATAAATCTACTTTGGATCACTCAAGGCCTCTTCCATCTTAACGGGCTCGGATTTGGCCATAAGTGCAAAAAGGATGAAATCATCATCATCATCATTGATTTCGTTGTCACGGAATATCTCATATTCTTGGAGTTTTTTAGGAAAACCTATTTGCCTAGTTGATCTTCTCACATTTTCATTAGTTCGAGCTTCGACACGCGACGCTTATGCTTTTTTAGCTTCTTCAGAATCTGGAATTTTGAAGATGTATCTAGTTACTGGTTTCTGATAACCGGTTAATGACTGCATGTAATTGGTTAACGAATGTCTGTAATCGGTTACGGGCTTCTCCACTTGTTTCAATTCATCAAACACAACACCTAGGCTGATCACAGTCCTCTTGTTTGCACCATCAAACAACTTGTAACCCCTAGTAGAGTGATCTCCGCCTTTGCCTTGTCAATATTTCACTCATTCATCCTTTGCTCATGAGCCTCAAGAGAGCTTTGAAGCTCATCCTTGCTCAACGTCTCAAGATCCTTCGACTCTTCAATTGACACTACAATGTTATCAAATCTTATCGTCAAAGAGTGCAAGATCTTCGACACAACATTCTGCTAAGAAACAGTTTATCCATAAGAATTTATCTGGTTCACCAATCACATAATTCGCGTCACATAATTGTTGATTTTCTCATTTTTCTCCATTTAAATCAATTCTAATTGAAGTTTGTGAGTTTGTAACCTCACCACCTTTGCCTTATCATCCCCTACACATGCATTTTCTAAGATTTCACATGCTTCCTTTGTTGACTCGCAATCACCAACTTTCTCAAAGTTGTCACCATCCACAGATTGATGGATCAAGAACATCGCTTTGTAATGTTTCTTCTTTTCTTTCTTGAATGTTGCCCGTTGTGAATCTGTTGCACCTTCGACAAGGGGATTCACCATATTCTTGATCACTTCAAGAACATCTTGGTAGCCAAACAACATCTTCATTTGCTTGCACCATTTGTTGTAATTCTTCGCATCAAGGGTTGGTTGGTTTGTAGGAACTCTATCATTGGAGACCGAATTCATGTTGCACAATAGGTGTTTGTGGATTAGAATCAGAATCTTGATGCTAAATATTGAAATATGCAATCACACAATTGGTAAATAGTGGAGTATGTGGAGAAAGAGATAGTGAGAGAGAAGAGAATTAGAGAGAGTGAGAGAGATAATTGATGGTGATAATATTATTTTGCATTAACTTTGATGAGGATGTCTTCAAGGCATTTATATAAATATTACGAAGTGATTGACATCCAAAACACATAATTCAAAAGCAAGAAAAACAAAAAGTCGCACCTGTAACCTGTTACACAAAAACTGTAATCGATTACCGCTGACAAATATTCTAAAAATACAATCAAGTGTAACCAGTTACTGTAAAAGCGGAACCCATTACGCCAACTCTAAAAATGTTTTTTTTTCCTTATAAAGGTGTTTTTCATCAAACTGTAATCAATTATATCTCGTGTTAACTATTGCACTTGAATTACTTGTATTTCTCACCTTTATGTAATATGTTAATAATACATTTTCAATATATTTTATCATAATTTTCATTTTCATATACTAGGATAAGTTAATTCAAAATTCGAATTAATTTTAAATTTGACTTATAAATCAAATTTAATTTGTAAATCTAATGTAACCTTAATTACATGAGTCAAATTGTAATAAATTTAATTGATATGCGAGATATTTAATTTTTCTTTTAATCCCATTTAAAGTATAATTGATTGTTTTATTAATAAACAAATAATATATGATTAAATAAGTTTTTTTTGTCCATCTAAATATATCAGAATTTGTTTTTAGTCTTTTTAAATATGTCACATAATTAAAGTCAACATCATATTTGAGTCTATAAAATTTCATAATTAATCTGTAACTCAAATCGTAGTTAATTTCAAACAAATTCAAAAACTGAAAAATTAATATTATAGTTTAAACTATCTCATAATATCATTCTGCAGATTCATATTGCATTTCATACTGCAGAAAGAAGGGTGTAATAAAGTATTGCATGTTACTTCATGCACACAATGGCATCAGTTTCTATTATTTTATTTTATTATAAAAAAGTAATAAACACAAAACTTGCTACTGTAAGCAAAAGAATATGCATGACATTGCAGAACTATTGAATTATGCACTTATCAAAGTTATGAGAAAATACATTGCAGTGTAATTTATGTAAGTAAAAGAACCATATAATTATCAAAGCTATATAATTATATGTAAAATTGTGTAATCATATAATTGTTAAATTATAATTCAGTGTGTCGAAATTATGTGTCGAAAATATTAGATTTGTTTTATATTTAAATAGATTTGATTTAAGTCTAAAATATATTAGATTTGATGTAGTAACAAAATAGATATTTTGGGCTTTGGGTTTAGGGTGTAAGCTCAGTTATAAATAGAGGGAGTAACCCCTATTTTTTGTAAGCAAGTCATTCACAGTATTTTGCAGTTGCAAAGTGAATAATAAAGTTTTCAAAGTTTGTGAGCAGAGAGAAACTCTGCAGAAATTATTTGTCTTGTCTTCTTTTCTTTGTTTGTCTCATAATTAAATTGTCATTGTGGTAGAAATTCATCATAGACTTTAGTGAATTTCCAAC